TGTAACAGAGACTGTATTGCCCACAAAAGCCTAAAATATTTAATATCTAGCCCTTTACAGAAAAAGTTTGCCAACTCCTGATCTATAGCAATTAATAAGGATGTATCAGCTTTCTATTATTTGCTCAGTGGATCTTGTTCCATTCCTTTATTTTCCATCCTTTCTGTATGATTTTGCTTCAGTCTTCTTGTATGCAGTTTATACCTGGATTTTAAAAAACAATCTGGTGGTCTCTGAAAAAGTATGGAGTTTTAAGCGCTTTCTGGTTAAAAGAAGGAGGAATAAAGAGTATTTCTTTTACCATCTTGATTAAAATATAATGAAGACAGAGAACCCTGATGCAAGAGAAACAGCTGCTCTGATCTTAAAGATACTTTCTCCTGCTGCTGTGCTCTATGAAACGTCTTGCTCAAAAATCAGACTAAATCCCATCTCTGTCCAAAACAAAGCAGTAACTGTTATACTAATTAAACACATTTACTACCTTCCTAGCTAATTTCTAGACTTGAAAAAATTATTTGAAGAAATTTTTTTTTTTTTTTTATGGTACGCTGGCCTCTCACCGCTGTGGCCTCTCCCATTGCGGAGCACAGGCTGCGGACATGCAGGCTCAGCGGCCATGGCTCACAGCCCCAGCCGCTCCGCCGCATGTGGGATCTTCCCAGACCGGGGCACGAACCCGTGTCCCCCGCATCGGCAGGTGGACTCTCAACCACTGCGCCACCAGGGAAGCCCCATGAAGAAGACATTTTTTATAAGAGATAGTATTAGTTCATGACAATATCACCAATTTATCTTCTTTCTTCCTTCCTTTCTCCAGAAAGGCACCAGCTCTTTTGATTTGGGGTTAGGGAGAGCACCTGATTATCTGCCTTTTGCAATGTAAGTTATAAGGTGCTTCTGACATATTTATAAAAAAAAAAATAGAACGTTACTATTCCTTAGGAAAGGTGATTTAATCTATTTGCATTTATTGTGATTAGTGATATACTTTGACACATTCCTGCTGTTTTATTTTTGCTTTCTATTTACCATGCCTTTCCTTCATTGCTTTGGTTTTTCTTTCCTGTTTTCTATTGGAATTACAGCTCTCTTTTTCTCTCTAGTGATTTGTGGCCTAGTCTATTTCTTTCAGTGGTTAACCTTCAATTTTTAACATGCATATTCAACAAGGTATAAAGTTAGTATCTCTATCCTTTCCCAGATCAAGGATTTTATAACACTTTAGCCCTGATTCCTCCCACTTTTCCAACTTTATTCTCTAGAATATTCATTTTACCTTATTTCTAGCCCTCTCCCAAAGCAGTCATCATTTAAATTACTTACACCCAACATAAACTCAGCTTTACCAACTTGTTTACAACTTGTTCGTTCATCGATATTTCTTGCATCCTACTCTTCTCGGGTGGCTGATGTTAATGATGGTTTCTCAGGAAAATGAGATTTCAGGTGATATTTTCGTTGAGAGTTTTTTGGCCTTATATATATATATGTATATTTTAATAAGCAGGTATTATAAAAGCATTAAAAAATAAACCTATCGGGCTTCCCTGGTGGCGCAGTGGTTGAGAGTCCGCCTGCCGATGCGGGGGACACGGGTTCGTGCCCCGGTCCGGGAAGATCCCACATGCTGCGGAGCGGCTGGGCCCGTGAGCCATGGCTGCTGAGCCTGCGCGTCCGGAGCCTGTGCTCCGCAACGGGAGAGGCCACAGCAGTGAGAGGCCTGTGTACCACAAAAATAAAATAAAATAAAATAAACCTATCTTCAAACTGGAAAAAATCAACCTAATGTCCATGTATAAACACTTAAACAGAGAAAAAATAGCATATTTCAGTGTTCCTGTTAAAAGGAAAAAAGTTAAAGTAAAAATATCTCAAAGTGTAACATTCTTGAAGGAAGGTGGGTGTGAAAAAGGATAATCTGCTTACATTATGCATGACTATTTTCAAACATTTCGGACTAGACAAAGGCACAGACTTCCAATGAAGAAAAATGGGCTTCTGGGGATTTAAGATCATATTTGACCTGAGTGTAAATAACATTTTGGTTTTCTTCCTGCCAAAATCATGTTCTGGGGTTGAGGTCATACAGGAAAAGAATGAAGTCAGTGGTAGAAAGCTCCCCACATAGCAATTTTTATGTGTCCAGTACCAGAGTCCAGGTGTCAAAGAAGTCTGGAAATGTGAGAAAATAACTTTTTATTGTTCTTTTTTCAGATAAATGGTCATATCTCTAGCTTTAAATATAGAAGTACTTTGCCCACAAACGTGTCTGAGGTTGAAAGAAAACATGTTAAACATACTAGTTATTTTTTGAAATGTTTTCTTGCAGCATTATTTATGATAGCCAAGACATGGAAGTAACCTAAGTGTCAATTGATGGATGAATGGATAAAGGAAATGTGGTATATACACAATGGAATATTACTCAGCCATAAAAAAGAAGGAAATCCTGCCATTTGCAACTACATGGATAGACCTGGAGGGCATTTTGCTAAGTTCAATAAGTCAGACAGAGAAAGACAAATACCATATAATCTCACTTATATGTAAAATAAACAAAACAAAACCCAAACCCACAGATTACAGAGAACAAATTGGTGGCTGCCAAGGGCTGGGAGTGGGGGCTGGGCAAAGTGGGAGAAGGGGGTCAAAAGGTACAAACTTTAAACTTTCAGTTATAAAATAAGTAATAGGGATGTAATGCACAGCATGGTTAATAATTAATAATACTGTGTTGCATATTTGAAAGTTGCTGAGAGAGTAGATCTTAAAAGTTCTCATCACAAGAAAAAAATTTTAGTAACTGTGTGTGGTGATGGATTTTAACTAGACTTGTGCAGAACATTTTGCAATGTATACAAATATTGACTCATGTTGTACACCTGAGGCAAACATGATGTTACATGTCAGTTATATCTCAACTTTTTAAAAAAGATAGGGAATTCCCTGGTGGTCCAGTGGTTAGGACTCTGCACTTTCACTTCTGAGGGCATGTGTTCGATCCCTGGTCGGGGAACTAAGATCCCACAAGCCACACACACACACCCCACAAAAAAAAAAAAAAAAAAAAGAAAAGAAAGATAAATTGAGCAATATATTAAATATGTTCAAGACAGTAAAACACTACAATAACTTGTGATCACAACAATCACCAACAACAGGGTCTTGGCAGATATAAGAGTCTTCCAATTATATGTAAATGTCTAGTACCCCTTATCCTATTTTATTCAATAAAAATATATATGTTTCATTAAAAGAACTTCAAATTCACTTGACTTTACATAAAAATAATTTGTATATTTGATTATTATTAGACATGATTTTCTGCACATCTCACAAATGTGAGCTCTAGACCCATGAAATGCATTAGAATTAGTGAGATTCATGATTTTGTTTTATTGCCTGACAATGACTTGGTTTAAATAGAAGAAAAATTTTTTTTCTTTGTTTCAACTTTTTAAACACCTATTTAATTTTGTTTCATTATGGTTCATACTTAGCTAATTATTTTACTCTATTAATTAAGAAAGGGAACAAATAGTTTAATTCAGAGCTCAGATCATAATACCAAATACTCATTCTAGCAGCAATGAGACAGTTCCCACCCTTCAAGGGTGTCTGTCTTCTTGCTGTCTTAAACTTTACATTTGCTCAGATACTAATATTACTGCTAAAGTCAGGAGCTGAGAAAGAGCTAGGAGGGGAAGAGAAAATGTTAAATAAGGCAAAGTGATGGCTTTAAAGGGAAGTGAGAGAAAAGGCAGTCAAATTTGAAAAAAGATCCCTGAGTTTACAATTAATTTACATATATACTTCTGTGGTTTGCCAAGTGATTTGGTGTGACTACCTAAGTTTAATTAGCATACAGTCTCAGAATGAAAACTCTGTAAGACAAGGCTTCACTTAGATTTGATGGATATTCAGAAAATCAGTCTCATTCACATCTTTGTCATCATCACCCTGCAAAAATGTTAATGAGGGAAAACAATTCCAAGTTCACACATATAATCCCAAAACTTATGCTTACAAGAGAAAACCTGATTTTGTGAATATAGGTTCAAGCTCAATGCAGTACCTAAGCTTCAACCAAGTCTGAAGAAAGGGCTTAAAGACTCATATTAGCAAGCAACACTTAAAGCGAAATACAGACTTTTCACTTAAATCATTGTGAGTTCATGTGTCTTTAAAGGGAATACACAGAATTTATGTAATGTCAAATTATAAAAGAACTGCTAAGAAGTTCAAGGAAGCAGAAACACTTTTCAATATAGCTTGATATGATACCTATGGTAGTCACCTGGAAATTTCCAAACAAGCCTGAGATATCTCTGAATCGATTTCCTAAACAAAAAGGTAATAATTGATTTTAATAATAATATAGACAATTTAATTTTATTTTAATCAATAATATTGATTTTAATAATTTCCTTCCAGAAGTCTCACAAAGTATCATGACACCTAATTTTTCTAAACTAAGTACCCCAGTTATATACTGCTTTAGGTTCACTCCTACTTATGTAGCCACTCCAGTAAAATAGGATGGATTTTATTTATGACTATTTATCTGGAGAAATGCCTCTTTCCCTGTACTAAGTGCTTAGAGTAATACAGAACACAGCTGTTTTCTTTCTTCAGTGTCCGGTTAATCAGGATTAAATACACACACGCACATACACACACATGCACACACACACGTTTTGCACAGAGAAGAAAACATATTACACAATGTCCTCAGCTGAGCAGAGCAGAAGACTTCATAACTGTCCCTGACTATTATTTAAGAGGAGGCTCAAGAAGGCTCAGTAACAACTGCCGTAACTATTCATAAGTGCCACGAAATGGTTAGAGATCAAGTTCATAGCACTGACCTTCATCCTACATAATAAACCGTATTATTTCATTTATATTTGGCAAATCTGGATACGGTGATTTTAGGCTTTGAAGAGACAATGATGGTGTTTCCCAGAGATCTTAATAGATATAATTTTAGAAGGGGTTCAAGTTTTATTTATACATTTTTTATTGTATCAAAATATACAGAACATAAAATGTACTATCTAAACCATTTTTAAGTGTACAATTCATTGGCATTAAGTACGTTCACAATGTTATGCAACCATCGTTACAACAGATAAAATTTTGTATAATGTGCATAGCATATATTTCAAACCCATGGTTATACAAATTTCTTAAGCAATGCAGACATTTGTATAAATTGTGTAAAAATCATAAATCGGGGCAGTGTACACATGCAATTATAGTCAGTCTGATGCCTTAATTATTCAATTTTTTTCACAACTTCCTCAGTTTTACTGTAAAGTTGTCTGTAGCTCAAAATTTTCTGCAATCTTTTCAATAAAATTAGTAATATCACTTACAGAACATGAATTTCAGAACATGCTTTTCCACATTTATTCAACTGATAGGGTTTTTCTCATGATGAATTCTTTGCTGCTTCAGTAAAAGGCTAATTTTAAGTTTTCCCACATTTACAAAGCTCCCTTGTTTTTATGACTTCTTTGATGGAGAATAAGATGTGTCTTCTAGTTAAAAGATTTCGCACATGTGTTGCATTTATTTTGTTGCTCTGCTGTGAGTTGAGTAATGTTTAAGGAGATGTGATCTCTTGATGAAGGCTTTGCCACATTCAGTGCACCCGTGGGGTTTCTCGCCTGTATGAATTCTCTGATGCATGACCAACACTGATGAGTCTGCAAAGGCTTTGCCACATTCTCTGCATCGGTATGGTTTCTCGCCTGTATGGATTCTGGAGTGTTTATAAAGGGATGAACTGTACTTGAAGCTTTTCCCACACTCCTTACATTCAAATGAGTTCTCGGGTGTGTGCGATTTCACATGCTGAGTAAAGGAAGAGTTCCAGGTGAATGATTTCCCACATTGACCACATTCATAAGGCTTCTCTCCAGTGTGGAGTCTCTGATGGACCACGAGTTGTGCTTTATGCGTAAAAGCTTTCCCACAATCACTGCACACAAAGGGTCTCTCTCCACTATGAATTTTTTGATGAGCTGCAAGGTGTCCCTTACTGTTAAAGGCTTTCCCACAGTCACTGCATTCAAAGGTTATTTTTTTCCTTGTATGCTTTTTTTCATGTCTAATGAGATGAGACTTCTTTTGGAAGGCTTTCCCACATTCACTGCACCCAAAAGTTTTTTTCCTTCTGTGCTTTTTTTCATGTCTAATAAGACACAACTTGTTTTTGAAGGCTTTTCCACATTCCTTGTATTCATAAGAGTTTTCTATGATATAACTTTTATTATAACTAAGAAAGTATAAGTTAGGTTGCAAACACTTTCCATTTGATTCACATTTATGCTGTTTTTCTCTTGAAGAAATAAAATTTATATTCAGATTACAATTTTGGACTGTCTCATTGGTCAGTGTTTTCTTGAAGGTGAACATACCTTGGTTCAAAAAACTGTCTTTGCTTCCTTCTCCTTCCTGTCCCTCTAGCTCATCATCAAGTAAGCAGATAACTTCTAAAAAGGAGTAAAATGAAACATTCTCAGTTACTCCTTCCAATATCATGTAATAGAAAGAAATTTTTAAAGTCTATGTTTTAGGGCAAGGATGCCTATTCTGACCACTTCTAGTCAATATAGTACTAAAGTCCTAGCTAGACCAATTAGGTAAGAAAAAGAAACAAAAAACATCCAAATGGGGAAGGAAGAAGTAAAAGAATCTCTGTTCATTGATGACATGATCTTGTATTCAGAAAACCCTAAAGATTCCATGAAAAAACTGTTAGAACTAATAAATTCACCAAAGTTGTAGGATACAAAATCAACATACAAAAATCAGTTGTCTTTCTATACCCTAAAAGCAAACAATCTGAAAAGGAAATTAAGAAAACAATCCATTTACAATAGCATCAAAAAGAATAAAATAAACTTAACCAAGGAGATGAAAGACCTGTACACTGACAACTACAAAACATTTCTGAAAGACATTAAAGAAAACACAAATAAATGGAAAGACATTTTCCATTTTCTGTGTTCATGGACTATTGTTAAAATGTCCCAAATGTACCCAAATGTATCTACAGATTCAGTGCAAGCCCAGTGGAATTTTTTGCAGAATTTGAAAAAGCAATTCTAGGGGCCTTCCCTGGTGGTGCAATGGTTAAGAATCATCCTGCCAGGACTTCCCTGGTGGCACAATGGTTAAGAATCCGCCTGCCAACGCAAGGGACATGGGTTCAAACCCTGGTCTGGGAAGATCCCACATGCCGAGGAGCAACTAAGCCTGTGTGCCACAGTTACTGAGCCTGCACTCTGGAGCCTGCGAACCACAACTACTGAGCCCATGTGCCACAACTACTGAAGCCCACGTGCCTAGAGCCCATGCTCTGCAACAAGAGGAGACACCCCAATAAGAAGCCCACGCACTGCAACGAAGAGTAGCCCCCGCTCGCCACAACTAGAGAAAGCCCGTGCACAGCAATGAAGACCCAATGCAGCCAAAAATCAATAAATAAAATAAAAAAATTTATATATATATAAAAAAGAAGAATTCACCTGCCAATGCAGGGGACAAGGGTTCGAGCCCTTGTCTGGGCTCGCACAGCAACAAAGACCCAATGCAGCCAAAAATAAATTTAAAAATAAATTAGTTAACTAAAAAAAAAAAAAAGAAAGAAAAAGCAATTCTAAAATTCACATGGAACCATGAAGGACTCCCAAGAGCCAAAAGAATCTTGAGAAAGAACAATGCAGCAGGCCTCACATTTCCTGTCTTGAAACCACATCACAAAGTTACAGTAATCAAAACTGTACTTTATGGTACTGGCATAAAGACAGACATATAGACCAAGAGAAAAGAATAGAGATCCCAGAAGTAAGCCCACGCATATATGTTCTTCAAGAAGTGTGCCAAGACAACACAATGGGGAAAGAATAGTTTCTTCAACAAATAGTTCTGGGAAAACCAGATACCCACATGTAAAAGAGTGAAATTGGACCCCAATCTCACACGACAAACAAAAATCAACTCAAAATGTATTAAAGACTTAAACATAAGATCTGAAACTATAAAACTCCTAGAAGAAAAGATAGGGGAAAACTTCAGAATATTGCTGCTCACAATGATTTCTTGGATAGGGAACCAAAAGCACTGACAACAAGAGCAAAAATAGACAAGTGGTACTACAGCAAACTAAAAAGTTTCCATCAAGAAAAGGAAACAATTAATAGAGTGAAAAGGCAACCTACAGAATGGGAAAAAATATTTTAAAAACATATATTGGATAAGTCGTTAATATCCAAAATATATAAGGAACCCTTACAACTCAATAGCAAAAAACGGGCAAAGAACTTTAATGGACATTTCTCCAAAGGAGACATACAAATGGTCAACAGGTATATGAAAAGATGCTCAACATCACTAATCATCAGGGAATTGCAATTCAAAACCACAATAAGATATCACCTCACACCTGTTAGGATGTCCATTATTAAAAAAATAATAATAACAAGTGTTGGCAAGAATGTGGAGAAATTAGAACTCTGGTACACTGTCGTTGTGCATGTAAAATGGTACAGCCACTATGGAAAACGGTATGGAGTTTCCTCAAAATATCAAAAATTGAACCACCATATGATCCAGCAATCCCACTTCTGGGTATTTATCAAAAAAATTGAAAACAGGATTTCCTAGAAATATTAGCACTCCTGTGCTCACTGCAGCATTATTCGCAATAGCCAAGAGTTGGAAACAATCTAAATGTCCACTGACAGATGAATGGATAAAGGAAATATGGTATATAATACTTTAAAAAAGAAGGAAATCCTTCACATGCTACAACATGGATGAACCTCAAGGACATTAGGCTAAGTGAAATCAGCTAGTCACAGAAGGACAAAAACTGCATGATAGCACTTACATAAGGTATTTAAAATAGTCAAACCTATATAAGCAGAAAGTAGAGTAGTGGTTGCCAGGGGCAGGGAGGAGTGGGAAATGGCGAGTTGTTCAATGGGTTTAGAATTTCAGTCCTGCAAGATGAGGAAGTTCTAGAGATCCCCTGTACACCAATGTGCATACAGTTAACCATATTGTACTATACACTTAAAAGTTTGCCAATGAGGGTAAGTTTCATATTATGCATTTTTTTCTACCACACACATGCAAAAAGTCTCTGGTTTCAGGCCTAGTCTCCCATTCTGGACTACAAAACAAAAAAGAAATCTGTATTTGTCCTGCCCTGGGCATTAAGAAGAAACTGCTGAAATGGAGGCTTCCAGAAAACAATAATGAGAACAAGTACCTTTTTCTATTTATAAATATGACTTTCCATTCTGTGAAAGATGGTAAAACAGGCACAAAGTAATGTTATAACAATGACAAAGAAAGTTAAAAAGGGCTCTTAACAAGGATGCAGAGTAGCTCTGAGAATGGGGAGAGCCATTTCAGAGGAATGAATGAGGAGGGTAACCAGGGGAACAAGGAGATAAAGGCATTCTGAGAAATGAGAAGAGCTAGACTGGGTTGGGGAAATTTGACCAGAGTCAAAATCTACAACATCTAAGAATTAAGTTATCCTGTTAGGATGCTCCCGAGTCTCCTTCACACACTTCTCCTTCTCCTTCCTCATCCTGCACACAACCACCAAAGAACTGTCAAGCCATTAACTCCCTTTTACCTATAGGCACTTTCCTATATCCTCTCTAGCCACCCAAGCCACAGTTGAGGACTATTTGTAGAAAGTTCTCCAATTCCACTTCTAGCTAGGATTCATTCTCCAATGCCTACACATACCCAGGAACACAGAGGCTCAGCAGAACGTTGAAAAGAGACCAGATGTCAATTCTTTTGCTTCTATCATCAGCCATTTCTACTACTTGATAAGAATTTTTCCTGATAAATAATCCTATTTTTTTATAACCTCTTTCAACCTTCCAGATGTACTAGCCTCCAAAACTCTGCTTTGCCCCTGACACCACACTCTTTAACTCAAATTTCACATTTTGGTTTCCACACATACAGATTCCATTATTTCTGGGGATCTGAACCATAGGACTGCTAGGCTTTACCAACTTTTGCCTTTATATACTGTGTGGTTAAGAAAGTTAACTCTGACTACTGTTACTATGGTGCCACACCGTGTCCAAAACAACATAATCACTGCTCAAAACCCTACAAATGCTAAGTCCACTGATATAATAATGTTAGGGAAAATGGAGAAGGGAATTCTTCACTGTTTCTGAGATTGCCTTCCATCAAGGGAGAACCTTATTAGTGTAACAATTTGGACTCTTACCTCATTCCTTATTTCTCAAATGAACACAATCTGATTACATTATTAGAAACAGATGTATGGAAAGATCTGCCATCATGGTGAGGAAGAAAGAAGAATGAGGATTCTAGGAACTGAGAGAACCAACAAGCACTTCGATGTAACAGGCAGCGCGAGGAGCCAGAGCGGAGAGGAAGGACATCCTCCCACACAAGAGCTGAGAAACAGAAAGAGCAGCCACGTGGAAGAGTGGAAGTGAAGGTGTCACCTGGGGATCTGAGGATGTTGTGTCAGGTGTACCCAGTCACTTTCAAACGTGTGTGGTTTTAAGAGGTGCTTCCTGAAAAGTATTTCAGAGGTGCCTGTCCCTCACTCACCAACTGGGATCTCAGTTCCAGAGACTCCCATCTACCTGCTTTCTCTGACTCACCTGGAGAGCGCCAATGTGGGTTCTCTCCCTCCACCATCCATGGCTCTTGTCCTTGCTCCACCTTGAAGATCACTTTTGTTTTGGTGACTGGACACCCTGTTCATGGGAAACAACACAGAACTGGGGACAAAGTGCTAGGAACAAACGACTACCTTACAATTTGGGTTTGCCTCCTGGAGTCTTAGGGCCTGTGAAGATAACATGCTTTAGAACAGAAAAGACCCTTCTTCATTTGGGAGGCAGAAGCATTAAACATACTACCTGATCCCCAAAGGGGATTATGAATCTTTGACCGGACTAAGCTGGTGGTACAGTGGTTAAGAATCCGCCTGCCAATGCAGGGGACAAGGGTTCGAGCCCCGGTCCGGGAAGATCCCACGTGCCGAGGAGCAACGAGGCCCATGCACCACAACTACCAAGCCTGCTCTCTAGAGCTTGCAGCCGTAACTACTGAGCCCATGTGCCACAACTACTGAAGCCCACACGCCTAGAGCCCGTGCTCCACAACAAGAGAAGCCACCACAATGAGAAGCCCACGCACCGCAACGAAGAGAAGCCCCTGCTCGCCACACTAGAGAAATGGAAAGCCCGCACGCAGCAAAGAAGACCCAACACGGCCATAAATAAACAAACAGAAATGGCAAAAACAAAGAAAAAGATTCTTTGACCACTAAAATTCAGGGTCAAACTTACTAATGCTTCAGAATGCTCACAGGTTTCTCAAGTCTTAAAGGAAGGGTGCTATTAGTATATCCTGAGTTACACAGGGAAGTTGTCCTTACCCACTGAGATGAGGTTTCTAAAGTTCTCCAGCATCACATCCCAATACAGCTTCCTCTGAGAATATCCCAGCAGCTGCCACTCCTCCAGGGTGAAGTCCACAGCCACATCCTGGAATGTCACTGATCCCTGTAATAGTACATTCATCTTCGACCTGAAGTGAGCACCACTGGGGCACGTGGAGGGGATTCTGACCAATTCCTCTAATTATGTTCATATGTTCAGAGTTTGCAGTAAGTTACCTAGAATAACTAAAAACTATGTACTTGATTTAGAATTAAAATTTGTGATAGAAGAAAATCATATTAAAACTGTCCCACTGGTCTTCCCTGGTGGCGCAGTGGTTGAGAGTCCACCTGCCGATGCAGGGGACACGGGTTCGTGCCCCGGTCTGGGAAGATCCCGCGTGCCGCAGAGCGGCTGGGCCCGTGAGCCATGGCCGCTGAGCCTGCGCGTCCGGAGCCTGTGCTCCGCAACGGGAGAGGCCACAACAGTGAGAGGCCCGCGTACCGCAAAAAAAAAAACACAAAACTGTCCCACTGTATACATATACACACATACGTATATATACATACGTATACATACATATATATGGAGAGAGGGAGAGGAAGAGAAGGAATAAGATAATACTAAGTTCACTGAGCATTGTTTTGGCCTCATGTATTCTGCTTACACAAAGGGACACTGAAAAACAGTCATATGAAAACGGCTACTCATTTATGACAAATCATCAAATTTTTTTCTTTCACGATAAGTTCCAGGAAAATCTTTATCTATGGAATTGTTATACCTTATTCTCTAGGTCATGGCCAATAACTTCACTGATTGGGTATCCTGTTTTTATGACTGCCAAGATTAAGCATAACTTTGCATCTCAACATTACAAAGTATGTGCAGACCCTACGGCCTCTATATCAATTTTCTAATTTTTCTTCAATTTAAATTTCAATCTATATTTTTCCCATTTATATTCTTACCTATTAATACTTTTTCACTTTAATATATGGAGCCTTACAAGTCACTTCAAATTCACCAGAAAGCAAATTGGAATTTGAATGAATAAATGGATGGACAGACATATGGATGGATGGATATCTTGCCTGGAAGTTGGTCGCTTTCTGTGGCTCATGAGAAAGGACACCGATCTACGAAAACAAGACAGGGGGAGTCCCCTGCCTTTCCAGCCTAGAAATAAGTACCTATGTGCCAGCTACAAAAAAGGCTACTGGGGGAAGAATGACCTGTCAAATAAGCAGGGAAGTCCATGTTATATAGAAAGACCAACTTGTCCATTTTCAATCCTGATATGATCACAGGAAACTTGGATAAGGATGGTCTCTCTTGGGTAGATGTATACATTTCTGCCCATTGATCTATTACAATTTATTGTTAATTTCTGATCTAGTGATTTCTTTTCTCCCAGAAACATATCCCAAAGAAATAAAAATTGATGGATATGAAGATTAAAAGCCTGAGTTCTAGAGCCAGGCAACCTAGTTCAAATTCAGCTACTCCACTTACTAGCAGCAATGACCCTCAGAAAGTCACTTAACTACTCTATACCTCAGTTTTCTTATCTGCAAAACGCTGATGATAATAGTACACACATCATACGATTTTTATGAGGATTAAATAAGTGAATACATGGAAACCACTCAGAACAATATGTGGTAAGCACTCAATAAGACTGTGACTATTTTTAAAAATAAAAAAGGGGAGAAAGGGAGAGATGAAAAATGTTTTTATATCATTGCTTATAATATGAAAACACAGACAATAGCTTAAATGTCCAGTAACAGTGTTGATTAAAAACAAAAGATGCTGTAGAAAGATATTGCTTTGGAAAGAGGTGCCATTTATATTTGTAGGTGAAAAAAGTACGTTAAAATATATAACATGGGGGCTTCCCTGGTGGCGCAGTGGTTGAGAGTCTGCCTGCTGATGCAGGGGACACGGGTTCGTGCCCCGGTCCGGGAAGATCCCACATGCCGCAGAGCGGCTGGGCCCGTGAGCCATGGCCGCTGAGCCTGCGTGTCTGGAGCCTGTGCTCCGCAACGGGAGATGCCACAATAGTGAGAGGCCCGCGTTATCGCTAAATAAATAAATAAATAAATAAATATCTATATATATCATGATCCTCCCCTCCCCTTTTAAAAGAATATGTATGCAGATACAGAGACACACAAGCTTGGTGGTCTCTGCAAATAAATAATAGCTATTTACCAAAATGTAAATAATTGTTATTTAGGGTTGTAAAGACAGCAGAATCATACGTAACTTCTATTTTATTTGTTTACATATTTGTACTTTCTAAGTGCTTATACTGTATTATTTTTTCAAATACATACATATACACATACATGTAAATATATACAGTTTAAAGATATACATGTAAAATTTAAACAAAGGTCTATAATGCCCTACAACACCTTGGTTCCACCTCTTCTAACCTCGTCTGCTTCAATCCTTCAAGCACCCTCCTATTGTCACTGATCAGACATTCAGCTTTCTTGCTCTTCCTCCAAAATACCAAGGATGATTACTCAGGATCTCTGCACATCTCTTCTGCCTGGGCTGTTCTCCCACAGGGAAAAATTGAGATGCTGCACAGCTCACTCTCTAAATTCCTTCAGGTCTCTGCTTACAGGTTACTTACCAGTGAGGCTTTTCTTGACAACCTCAGATAAAAGAGCTTCCTCCCTCTCGGTCACCACCACTCTGTACACCCTTACTCTGTCTTTTTCTCCATTGCACCTACTATCAAATAACAGATTGTGTATCTGTTTGATTTTTGTTTCTCTACCTCCATGAAAAACATAGATTCTGTTTTACTCACTGTGGTGCACCAAGTACCAGAATGGTGTTTGGTCCACAACAGACACTCAGCAAATATTTGCTGAATGACTCAAACTCCTTGTTACATGTTTTCAAAAGAAACTTATTAAGCAACTTTGGCCCAACTGAACTGTGATGCAGAGGACTTCCCTGGCAGGCGAGTGGTTAAGACTCCACGTTTCCACTTCACGGGTCACCCGTTCAATCCCTGGGCAGGGAACTAAGATCCTGCATGCCGCTGCGGTGCAGCAAAACTTTTTTTAATTTTTATTATTTTTATTTTTGGCTGCACTAGGTCTTCGTTGCTGCCCGTGGGCTTTCTCTAGTTGTGGCGAGTGGGGGCTACTCTTCATTGCAGTGCAGGGGCTTCTCATTGCGGTGGCTTCTCTTGTTGCAGAGCACGGGCTCTAGGCACACAGGCTTCAGTAGTTGTGGCACAGGCACTCAGTAGTTGTGGCGCACGGGTTTAGTTGCTCCGCGGCATGTGGGATCTTCCCGGACCAGGGCTCGAACCCATGTACCCTGTATCGGCAGGCGGATTCTTAACCACTGCACCACCAGGTAAGACCCGTGGCAAAACTTCTGAACTGTGATGCAGGAAAAAGAACAGTCTGGGAATTGAAGACTGGATTTCAGGCCTGACTCAGCCACTAACAAGCTGTGGGACTCTAGCACTCAACTGCCATCTCCTTAAAATGAAGAAGCAGAACCAGAAGACTCCGAAAAGTCCTTCTAGCATCTTGAGGCTGTGATTACTCTGTAAACTAGCTCTGCATTTAGGTAAGGGGAGAAAGGGAATCAGCATAACCCCAAAGGGCAAATATGACAACTAAAATAGTTAAGGAGCCAGCTTAATTGTGAAGGAAGCAATGAGGAAGGGAACGCACTGGTGTGAATGTGTGTTTGTGAGAGCCTGAGAGAGAGAGAGAGAGGGGGACTGAATAAATGTGTTTAGGAAAGCAGCAGAATTTCTTCTGTAGTAGCTCTTGATTCTTCTTTCCCTTGACCATACCCTCATTCTCCTCCTGTGAGTTTCATTTTCCTGTGGAGCCTGACCACATAAACCCATACTTCATTTTCTGTAATTCTCACCTCTCTCCTCAAACATTTGGGACACCACCTCCATAAACACAGTCCTTGATGGTACTTACATGTAATGCCATGAGTCAAGCCCTACTCTCACTAGATAGTAGAGACAGAAGTTGATTCTTGTCTCAACTGAAATGGGGTAAAAACGTCACAGGTCAGGAGAGCCTCTTCCCGGGGTTAATCTGATGGAGAAGCAACACTCCTTCAACAGGAACCTTCACGTTGGGCCACGATTCTTTAAACTCACCATCCTGTGGCCCTAGGTTGGCTTTTTGTAGATTTTAACCAGGGCCGCTGGAAACTAAAACAGGCAGGAATACGCAAGAGGGACCCTCAGGTTCAATTACACAGTCTTCCTGCAGAGACACCAAGAGTTCTCTCAATAACAATGATCACAAGTTGAAGTTCGTTTAGCATTCACTCCTCAAGAAGAATACAAACTAACTCTTTGTTTTAGGCAAAGTGCTATGTTGCAAAATTAATGAAATTTGGGTAAAATGGCACTGAGTTTGAATACCCGCTCCTCCACTAACTAGCTGTGTGAGTTGAAGCAGCTTCATACCTCCCTGTAAAACGATGAGTACACTTACAAAGTCATCGTGATAAACAAATGCCAATACTTTAAAATAATGTGCTTAACAGTGTCTGGCACTGGCTGTATTGATTCTCTTCCCCGCCGCTTTGAAGGGGTTTACTGCCTTCGGCGAGTCAGAAATCTTGTGGAATGAGATGAGTTACGGTTCAACGCACAGGCGGGGGCTCCCTACGCGGGCCACACTACCTACAGCACAGCAACGCAGACTGGCCCGCCACGCCCCTGCCAGACCTGGGCAGAAAGGAGCCCGGCCCTTACTCCGCTTCCTCTGAGCCAAATGCCCCCGCGCATAGGAGTTACCTACAATTATGCTTTCTTCACATGAACTGAGAAGCCGGTCTCTGCTCTCCACCTGTCTCTCAAGCCCTTCTAGCTCACCCACCGCTCAGTACTGAAACACGTGGAGGAACGCAAACACTTCCTGAGGTCCCCACTGCGCGTGTGCGGAAGTAGCGACTCACCCAGACCCTCCCCCCAGGGTTCTCTGAGGAAATCCACCAGAGACTACATTTCCCATAAGGCTCCTGGAGTTTATGTCCGTAAGGCCTCAGGGACTTCCTCTTCATCTACGGAGATTTCTAGTTTGATGTAGTTTGGGCTTCATGGAGAATCATATTGAAAGGAAACGTGTACGTAATTTTTACTGATTAATATAAACGTGACATATAGAAAACATATGCCATATAGACGTGGTAAATAGAAAACAGTAATTTATTTAAAGGAAGAGTTTCTTCTTTCATTTTATTTTTAAAAAGAATTAAACTTAGTAACACTGTAATAACATATCATCTGTAAATAGTTTTAAAATCTAAACTATGTAAATTAATATATTAGATCCCTGTTGAAAAGGTTTTTAGTTTCAGACAGCTTAGTTATGAGTATATTTCAAAGCTTTATTACAGTCTAGCTGTAAGGGAACAGCAAGAGGGCAATTTCAGGTTTCACTCAGGGAAAAGAGTTTATATAGGAAAAGAGAAGGGTTACATAATCGTTGGCGAGCTATAAAAATGAGAGTGTATCTAACAGGCATCAGGTTGGGTGGATAACTAGTTTCTATAACAAGTCTTAATTCCATTAAAGTCATTTAGAAATTGCTTATCAGGAATGATCATTTTTTCCCAGAAGGAAGTCATGAATTATAGTATGCAAAAAAAAAACCCCTTTCCCCAGACAAGGTTTGGGACAATTTCTCTTCTATAGGTTTCTTCAGACCTCTCTCCTCCACCCCTCAGCTCTCTCTCTCTCTCTCTCTCTTTTTAAAAAAATTATTTATTAATTTATTTATGGCTGCATAGGGTCTTAGTTGCGGCACATGCAATCTTTCGTTGCGGCATTCGGGCTTCTCTCTAGTTGTGGCCCACAGGCTCAGTAGTTGTGGCACATGGGCTTAGTGGCCCTGTGGCATGTGGGATCTTAGTTCCCTGACCAGGGATCGAACTCACATCCCCTGCATTGGAAGGCAGATTTTTAACCACTGGACCACCAGAGAAGTCCCCTTTTTTTTTTTTTTAATGTGTGTATACTGTCAGGCCTTATCGTAAGCATATATCTAATATTCATTCAACAAAAACATGTTGCCTGAGTTCCTGTTATATACCAGACATTGATTTGGGTATGGAGTAGTGAGCAAAACAGACAAAAATGCCTGCCTTGTGGACCTAATGTTCTATTTTATTAGATATTGATAAATGCTATGGAGAAAAATAGTGCAATGAAAGGTGATAGGCAGTAGTGGAGGGCTGCAGTTTTAAACAGAGTAGTCCAGGAAGGCCCCTCTTAGGAGATATTTGAGCAAAGACCTGAAGGAAATGAAGTTGCAAACTCATGCCAGATGAAAAAGGGTTTTAGGTAGAGGAAACAGCAAGAGCAAAGACCTGAAGCAGAAAGTGCCAAACACATTTAAAGAACAGCAAGGAGGGCCATGTACCTGGAGAAGGGAGAATAATAGAGAGGTAAGGAGGGGTGAGGGCCCAGACTGTGGAGGGACTTGTAATCAATGTAAGGACTTTAGCTTTTCCTCTGAGTGAAAATAGAGGCTTCTGGAGAATTTTGAGCAGAGGAGTGGCATGGTCTGACTCAAGTTTTAATATGATCACTCTGACTGCTGTGTGGAGAATAAACTGGAGGAAAGCCAGGGTACAACCAGTTAGGAGGTCATTAGAATAATCAAGAAGTGAGATGATGGTGGCTCAGACCAAGTAGTAGCAGAAGAGCTAGTGAGAAGTAGTTGCATTCAAGGTCTAGTTTGAAGGCAGACTCAATATTGATTTACTGTAGATCATATATAAGTTATGAGAGAAAAAGGAAACTCAAGGATGATTCCCATGTTCCAGGTGTGAGCAAGTGAAAGGACGGAATTGCCATCAGATGAGATGGAGAAGGCTGCAAGAGGAGCACATCTAGGGAGAAGGAGAGAGAGCAGGACCTGTTTTGAACGTGTTTAGTTTGAGATGCCGATTAGAGAAAACCAGGTGGTGAAGTTGGACAAATATGCTTGAATTCAGGAGAGATGTCTACAAGAAATACATTTGGGAGATATCATTATATAGATAGACTTTGAAACCATCAGACAAATGGGGTTACCAATGAAGAGCATATAGAGAGAGAAGAGAAGAGGTCTGAGGATAGAGCCCTGGGATATTCCCAAGTTGAGAGTTTGTAGAGATGAGAAGGACTCAGCAGGGAGACTGAGAAGGAAAAATCAGTGAAGCAGGAGGAGAACCAGGAGAATGTGGCTGCTGTAAGCAACGTGGAAATAAATGTTTCACAGAGAACCGAGAGCTACATCGCGTCCTAAGCTGTTAATAATTAAGGCCGACGACTTGGTCATTGGATACAGCAAGTAGAATTTTATCGGTGACCTTTACCAGAACAGTTTCAGCAGAGTGGTGTAGGGGAAAGCCTATTTGGAATGAGTTTAAGAGAACATGACCTGAAAAGTCTAGATTGGGGGAATTTCTGTGAGACAAAGAGATGGTTTCTGTGGAAAAAAAAAAATTCAAGAAGGAAAAGCAAAAGACGGAAGGGGAATGTGTAGATTAACAGAGTGCTAAAACTAGCACTTTGGTGAAAGTTTGATGAGGAACAGGATATTATTTCCCCTGAAAATTACTTAATTACCATTTTTCCCTTTGTAATTAAGTAATTAATTAAGGGAAAAATGGTAATTTTACAATGTAGAAATGTGGTGGATGCCACCCTAACCAAGTAATTAAAGTTAAAGTGACCAGTAATGGGAATTCCCTGGTGGCGCAGTGTTAAGAATCTGCCTGCCAATGCAGGGGACACGGGTTTGAGCCCTGGTCCGGGAAGATCCCACATGCCACGAAGCAACTAAGCCTGTGGACCACAACTACTGAGCCTGCGCTCTAGAGCCCGTGAGCCACAACCACTGAGCCCGCATGCCACAACTACTGAAGCCTGCACACCTAGAGCCTGTGCTCCTCAACAAGAGGAGCCACCACGATGAGAGGCCTGCACACCGCAATGAAGAGTAGCCCCTGTTCGCCACAACTAGAGAAAGCCCGCGTGCAACAGTGAAGACCCACCTCAGCCAAATAAGTAAGTAAATAAATAAATAAAATTTTAAAATAAAATTTTAAAAAAGTAAGATCACCAGTAATAAGTTTGACATTGTGCCTCCTGACATGAAATACTAAGAATATCACTTACATGATATACTTGCCCAAATGCATAACTTGAATCTAATCATGAGGAATCATCAGACCAACCACAACTGAGGGGCACTCTACAAAATAACTGGCCTGTACTCTCCAAAAATATCAACGTCATGAAAGACGTTGAAAGGCTGAGGAATTGTTCCAGATTAAAGGAGTCTGAAGAAATATGACAAGTAAATACAATGGTTAATCCTGGTTTGGATCCTGGACCAGAAAAAAAAAATTAAGAAAAACATTATTGGTTTAAATGCAATGTGGTATCTTGGATTGGATCCTAGATCAGAAAAAGGACACTTATTGAAAAACTAGTGAAATATGAATAAAATCTGGAATTTAGTTAATTGTGATAAACTGGTGTTGGCTTCTTAGTTGTGCTCTGGTAATAAAACTTGTTAACTTTAGGGGCAATAGGTGAAGGATATATGGGAACTCTCGGTACTAGCTTTGAAACTTTTCTGTAAACCTAAAATTATTCCAAAATTAAAAATTTCTTTAAAAAAGAACAGTATTGAGACAATTGGGGAATTTTATGGATGATAGATTATAGTATTATACCAGTGGTAAATTTTTTTTAATTTTGATCATTGAACTGTGGTCATATAACAGAATGTCCATGTTCAAAGGGGTGAAATGTTATTGGACATCTTCTCAGCCTCACTTCTTCCTTTTTTTTTTTTCTGCCCACAGCATGCAGCTTGCAGGATCTCAGTTCCCCAACCAGGGATTGAACCCAGGCCACTGCAGTGAAAGCCCAGAATCCTAACCACTAGGCACCAGGGAACTTCCTCTTCTTCCTTCTTTTGGTAACAGACCCTATTTTTCTTTTGGGGGACTACTCTGCTCCTATTACATGAGATCTTGGTGGCAATGTAAATCAAGGTTTTCTGTGGTATCAGTCTGTCTTTTCAGTGGTATGCACTAGCTCACTGGAAATAATACGCTTTTAGTTTTGCAAAGGAAATTACTAAAAGACTAAAGTGCTTCTAAAAAAATAAGAGACCATTGTTTCTTCCTCATCATAGGTGAGTTTAACACATTTGCAATTAATATTATTATTGATATGCTTTTATTTATTTCTACTTTTTTTTTTGCTTTCTATTTATTATGTCGTTTTCTGCAACTTTCACCTTTCCTGCTCTGTTGGATTTATGAAGTTTTCATTATTGCCCTCTTCAGATCTTTAAGTTACACATTATATTTCTATGCTTTTCTAGTTACCCTTACTTTTTCTACACCTTTATAAAGCCTAAACTCTCTTTTTCCAGAACTCAATGACTCCTAAACTTAGATCTGCCTTTCCCACTTTTTCTGTTTTCTTTTCATTATACTTTTTGTATTTCATTCTTAAAAATTAGCATATATGATATAATCAGAAAAAAATGAAGTTTCATTGGGGAGAAAACGCCCTGTGTGCCATCTGCCATCTGTGTATAAATAAAAGAGAAAGAAGGTATTTTTCAGTGATCTTTTTATAAAGTAAAAAAGGAAAGAAAATCTCAAGGTATGACAGACTCTTAGAGGTGGGAAAAATCGAGGGAGTTCTCATTTAGATTGTGTATGGCTGTTTCAGCCACAGAATACAAATAGACTAGGGAGTTCTGGGAATCTGAGATGTTTGGATAGAACTAAGCATAGTTTTGGTTTTCTTCTTGCCAAAATCTCATATGGCCTAAGCCAATGAGCTCAGTGACAAAAACTCTCAAGGTGGCAGTTTATATTTGTCCAGTAAGGAAGTATATATATATATTTTTTATTTTATTTTTTTAAATTTTTGGCTGTATTGGGTCTTTGTTCCTGAGCGTGGGCTTTCTCTAGTTGCAGCAAGCGGAGGTTATTCTTCGTTGTGAACGGGCTTCTCTTGCTGCAGAGCACAGGCTCTAGGCGCGTGGGCTTCAGTAGTTGTGGCACATGGGCTCAGTAGTTGTGGCTCGCGGGCTCTAGAGCGCAGGTTCGGCAGTTATGGCGCATGGGCTTAGTTGCTACGCGGCATGTGGGATCTTCCTGGACCAGGGCTTGAACCCGTGTCCCCTGCATTGGCAGGTAGATTCTTAACCACTGCGCCACTAGGGAAGCCCAAGGAAGTATATTTTAACTTGCTCTACTGTATTCCTTCTTCCACTTAAGGAAGTGAATTAATTTATGGAAACTAGATAACATACTTCCTGACATATTACAATTAAAATTCCCTTGTTTTATTCGCAGACCATCGCACACCTCTTGCCACCTCGACCTACACAGCTGCTCTTCCAAGGGGACCTCACATCATGCCGACAACAGTAGAGCTCCCTACTGCCTCCTAATATGTGTCCTCTTCCTGTAGCCTTACATAGTTTTGAGTTTCTCAGATGAGAAGCATGGGCATGGGAAGGGGAGATAGGATGGGAATGGAAAGCACTGAGTAGGGTAAAACAAGGATTTCATGTAGGAAATGAGAGAAAACTGTTGGGCTGCAAAAAAAAAAGGCAAGTCCCGTGACTATACATACCTAAAGAATTCCCTGTGTGGCTGACAAATGGATTCTGAAGACAATTCCAAAAGAAAGAAGGTAACAGAAATTTTTGAAACTGCAAGAGTGTAACTAGTATGCCACCTCCTAAAACAAC